GGTGATTTCAGAATCCCACTTTACCAACAGACAGGTTATCTACATAAACAGAGAAACATCAAGATCGATTGCAGTGCCTGAAACACTAGCAGAAGCAATAAGGTAAGAGAAGCAAATTAAAGGGATACAAGTAGAAAAGAAAAGTCAAACTAACCCTACTTACAGATTATATATTATACATAGACATTCCAAAAATCCCACCAGAAAACTTTTAGTAAGTTCAGCAAAGTGGCAGGATACAGAATCAACTTAAAAAATTATACACCAACAACAAAAACAACAAAGATGCTGAGGAGACAGTCATGAAGACACTCTCATTCAAAAAAACAAACAAACAAACAAACAAACAAACAAACCAATAAGCCTAATTGAGGCGGTAAAGAGCCACTAAAAAGTGGAAAGACTTGCCGTGTTCATAGATGGTACAATTAATATTGTGAAAAGGCTCTTTCTATCAAAAGCAATTTACAGATTCAATGGACTCCCAGCTAAAATCCCTACAACTTTCTTCACAGAAATAGAAAAATAAGCCATCCTAAAATTTATACAGAACAAAAGATTCCATATAGCTAAAGCAATCCAGACAAAAAGAACAATGCTAGGATTTTTATTCCAGATTTTAAGATATGTTAGAGAGCTATGGTAATAAACACAGCATGGTAAGGCCATAAAACAAACAACAAACAAACAAACAAAAACCCAGACATGGAGGGTAATGGAACAAAACAGAAGACCCAAACTTGAGTACGTAACTACAGTCATCTGATATTTGACAATGGCAAAAAAAACAAACCAAAACAACTCCCCCCCAAATATTCAAAAAGGGTGCTGGGGAAATCAAGTGTCCACATGTAGAAGAATGTGTTTAGGCTCCTCTATCACCCTGCAGAAGAATCAACTCCAAATAGATCAAAGGCCTCAATGTGAAAGCTGAAACATTGAAGCTGCCAGAAGAAAGCAGGCTGCACCCACAAGGTACAGGTGTAGGAGAACTTTCTAATCCGGACTTCATTTGCTCAGGAATTAAGGCTAACAGTTAACAAATGAGACCTCATGAAACTTTTGCATAGCAAAGCAAACAGTCAAGTAAAAAGGCCCCCAAAATGGGAGAGAATTTTTGTCAGCTGTACATCTGATAGAAGATTAATATCCAGGATATATAAAGAACTCAAACAATGAGTCCAGGAAATGAACAACCCAGTTAAAATATGGGCTATAAATCTGAATGGAGAGTTCCCAACTGAAGAAATAAAAATGGCTAAAAGAATCTTAAAACATTTTTAATACCCTTAGCAGCTAGGGGAATACAAATTAAAATTAAGAGATTTCATCTTACCCAATCTGAATGGCTAAGATCAAGAAGACAACTGAACCCTTTGTGCACAAGCTACCTTTCTTGGGTAAGCGTAGCTACCAGCCCTCATCAAAGAAACATCTTTGTACAGCCAAAGGAGACCATCACAGATATAATCACAGAAAACAGAGGCCAACCTGAGAGTATGTGTGAGAAAATGGGAGGGTAGGAGGGTGAGTGATATAATTCTATTTAAATAAGAAAAATATTAAAAAATAAAATTAGGAATGTTAAATATTTGTGGTGCTGGAGAAGTGGTTCAGCAGTTAAGAATGTGCATGCCCAGTAGGGCTGGCCCTGGTGGCGGGGCGTGGGTGAGCCAGCACCAACGGTGTGAACACAGGAGTGCTGGACTTGCCACTCACCTGCAGTGAGGTGGCATAGGCTTGGGAGAGACGCCTTCCCCACCTCCTCATCTCTCACTACCTGCAGCAGCTGGGAGAGCTAGCCTTGGGGTTCTGAGAGCAGGAGAGCTGCCCTGTCCATTACTGGCTGCAGCATTGGGTGAGTTAGCCAGAGCAGGCAGGGCTGGGGAGCTCACCCTGGTGGCATGGGTATGGGAGAGCTGGTGGGCTGAGCAGCTCAGCTCCAGGGCTTTGAGTTAGCCCGCCCCAACATCTATCTCATCTCTGAATTGCTGGAGCATATGAACGGTCAGGTTCTGCAGATCTAAAGCTGCAGGATCTCCATGACACAGAGAAACAACAGCATATCTGAGAGGAGTCCCAGTGAGGATTCAGTATTGATAGAGTAGCAAGAGCCAGAGGCCTTGCACCAGACCAGTATCTCATTGCAATGAACGTTTTCAAGTAAAGATGTGTGGACAGAGGGGTATACTGTGGGACACACTATGACACACTAGCTTCCAGGATGAGATGTTTTCTAAAATTTAATTAATTAATTAATTTATTATAATTTATTCACTTTGTAGCCCCGCTGGAGCCCCCTCCCTCTTCTTCTCCCCCTATGACATTTCCCTAGTCCCCTGATAGGGTAGGTCCTCCTCTTCTATCTGACCCTACCCTATCAGGACTCATCAAGGCTGGCTGCATCATCTTCCTCTGTGGCCTGGCTGTACTTCCCAGGGAAAGGTGATCAAAGAGCTGGCTGCTGAGTTCATGTCAGAGACAGAGCCTATACCCCTTATTAGGGAAAACTCAGTTGGAAACTGAGCAGCCAATGGGCTTCCTTTGAACAGGGGGTCTAGGTCCTCTCCATGCATGGTCCTTAGTTGGGAGTATCGGTCTCTGCAGGATCCCCTGGACCCAGGTATTTTGGCTCTGTTGTTTTCCTTGTGGACTTCCTGTCCCCTCCAGGTCTTTCTATCTCCCTTTTCTTCCATAAGGATTCCAGCACTCTGCCCAAAGTTTAGCTATGAGTTTCAGTATCTCTTTTGATAACCCCGGTGGGTAGAGTCTTTCAGAGGGTCCTCTGTGGAAGGCTCCTGTGCTGTTCCTTGTCTTCTCCTACTTCCGATGTCTATCCTGTATGCCCTTCTGAATGAGGATTAAGCATCTTCCCTAGGGTCTTCCTTGTTGTTCAGTTTCTTTAGGGGTATAGATTTTAGTATATTTATTCTATATTATATGTCTAATATCCACTTCTAAGTGAGTATATACCATGTGTGTCTTTCTGCTTCTGGGTTATATCACTCCAGATGATCTTTTCTAGTTCTCATCATTTGCCTGCAAGTTTCATGATTTCCTTGTTTTAATTACTGAGTAGTATTCCATTGTGTAAATGTACCACACTTTCTGTATAGATGTCCTCCGTTGAGGGACATCTAGGTTGTTTCCAGTTTCTGGCTATTACAAATAGAGCAACTATGAACATGGTTGAGAAAATATCCTTATTGAATGGGGCACTTTTTGGGTATATGTGTAGGAGTGATATAGCTGGATCTTGAGGAAATACTGTTCCTAATTTTCTGAGGAAGCACCAGATTGATTTCCAAAGTGGTTGTACAAGTTTACATTCCCACCAGCAATGGAAGAGGGTTACCCTTTCTCCATATCCTCTCCAGCATGCATTGTCACTTGAGTTTTTGATCTTAGCCATTGTGATGGGTGTGTGGTAAAATCTCAGGGTCATTTTGATTTGCATTTCTCTGATGACTAAAGACGTTGAGCATTTCTTTAAGTGTTTCTCTGACATTCAATATGTCTCTGTTGAGAATTCTCTGTTTAGCTGTACCCCGTTTTTAAATTGGATTACTTTGGTCTGTTGCTGTTTTACTTCTTCAGTTCTTTATATATTCTGGATATTAGCACTCTGTCAGATATAGGATTGGTGAAGATCCTTTCCCAATCTGTAGGCTGTTGTTTTGTTCTGATGACAGTGTCCTTTGCAGTCATGTGCACATATCATGGACCCCCTCATGCACACAATTTAAAATAATAACATACACATATACATTTGTTAATATATACGCATAGGTTAATATATATATATATTTTATTCATTTATTTATTTATTTATTTATTTATTTATTTATTTATTTATTTATTTATTTTTGAGGCAGGATTTCTCTGTGTAGAGCTGGCTATCCTGGAACTCACTCTGTAGACCAGACTGGCTTTAAACTCACAGAGATCCACCTGCCTTTGCTCCCGAGCACTGAGATTAAAGGTGTGCACCACCACTGCCCAGCCTACAACAAACCCTTTTTAAAAAGAACAGAGCAACAACTGACAACAAATGCTGGAGGGGAAGTGAGGAAAAGGGAACCCTCATTCACTGCTGATGGGATTGCAAATTGGTGCAGCCACTCTGTACATTAATGACGAGAATTATGACCTAGTAGTAAAGCCTATGATCTAGGACAATGACTGAACTGGGAAGAAATGCACAGAAGTGGAATAGTGGCATTTTCATCATGGGGTAATCAACAGCTATCTAAGTGGACTTAAGGTTCACTTCAAAGGAGAGAATTCATTCCTGGTGCTATAAAACTAGGTCTATAGCTGATGAGGCCATGAGCCCTATAAGAGAATGTGTTCTTAGGACTCACTAAACCAGTAGTTTCTAGCTGCATTCCCAAAGGTAAAAATGGCTCGCACTTCTCATCAAAGAAGCATCTTTTTGCCACAGGTGGAGACCATTACAGAGATCCAAATGTAGAGAGTAAGTGACTAGGGGAATGCCCAAACACAATGATACAACTGCAGTGCAACCCCCAAGCCTAATGCTCAGGAAAAAAAACAACCCTCAAAAGAGAATGTCGAAAGGTTGGAAGAGCCAAAGGCCCAGGATGTCAGCTGTTAGGGGCTGCTATACATAATATGGGGAATGCATCCATGAACTCCCAACAATATGGTTGTTTGAACAAGACCATCATGGTGAAAGCATCCATTGACATGCTAACAGGGACAGGGGAAAGTCCATTCGAGCAAAGCCAAATAGACCCAGTAGGTTACATATATACACATGTGTGCATTTATGTAACATATATTTATACATGTACAACAGTAGGAACTGCAGAGGTCATGCATTTGGGAGGGAGATGCGGGAGGAGTCGGGAGGCAAGAGGGAGGGAGATGTCCTGCTCGTGTATGAACTCCTCAAAAATCAAATAAATAAACGGAGCGAGGGAAATGACAAGCCCATGTTCCAGCGTCTCCCAGCACAGGAAGGACAGGAGAGTTACCTGGCTGGTAGAAATCCGGCGACAGCTCTCTGGCCACGGCTCTCGCTATGTCGCACTCCTGGCGGGCAGCCAGTGCAGCCTGGTCAGCAGCATCAGCTTTCGCTCTGGCATGTGCAGTCCTACATGGGTATAAAAAGGCTAGTCAGCAGAGAGAGCACGGTGTTAGTTACCCACGGGCAAGCGAAGCTCGATTTAGGGAGAGAAATGTTCATTATGATCGTGGCCCAACACCTGCAATGGCGACTTTCAGTGTCACATTACTCTGAGACCTCAGCAAGAGCCACCGCACAGATGAGACTGCTTGTCCTTTTTCCAAGGGAAGAGAAAATCACCACTAAGGTCTCTGCAGCTGGGCACTGTGTCTGGTTGTGAGGACTCAGTGGACCAACTCCTCTGCTGGTTTTGTATTACACACCCCAACTCCAGAAAACAAGCAACTATGGACAGTAGGGTTTGACCACGTGAATTAGCTGATTGCTCACCGACCAAATTCCATAGGTGGAATCTGCTCAGTGGAGGAAAGGAACAGAACCGAGGCCATCAGTGCTGGCTGACTCCCAAGTGTGAACACCCCTGGTGTGGTCATTTGGGGCCATCAGCACAGCGCCACTGCACGTGTGGCTGGGTAGAGGCACACACCATAGGTTTTCACCAGTGTGCTCGGGACTGCTATCCACTTAACTGCTTAATTTGAATTCAAGGTTATTTGTGTGTGTATGTGGGTGCCACCAGTGATGTGAAGAGGTTAGAGGACAACTTGTGGGAACCAGTTCCCTTTCCAAAGTGTGGGTTCTGAAGATTGAACTCAGATCAGGAAGTCTGCTAAGCCATCTCACTGGCTTTCTTTTGGCTGTTTTGTTTTGTTTTCGTTTTTTTTTAATTTATTTTTTATTTTTATTAATTACAGTACATTCACTTTATATCCCAGCTGTAGCCCTCTCCCCTATTCCCTCCCAATCCCATCCTCCCTCCTCTTCTTCTACTATGCCCCTCCACCAGTCCAATGATAGGGGAGGTCCTCCTCTCCTTCCATCTGACCCTAGTCTATCAGGTCTCATCAGGACTGGCTTCTTTGTCTTCCTCTGTGGACTGGTAAGGCTGGCCCCCACCTCAGGTGGAGGTGTTCAAAGAGCCAGCTCATGAGTTCATGTCAGAGACAGTCTCTGTTCCTATTATTAGGGAACCCTCTTAGACGCTGAGATACCATGGGCTACTTCTGTGCAGGGGTTCTAGGTTATCTCCATGCATGGTTCTTGTTTGGAGTATCAATCTCAGAAAAGACCCCTGTGCCCAGTTTTTGGTTCTGTTTCTCTCCTTGTGGAGCTCCTGTTCCCTCCAGGTCTTTCTCTCTCCCCCTTCTTTCATAAGATTCCCTGCACTCTGCAAAAAGTTTGGCTATGAATCTCAGCATATGTTTTGATATCCTGCTGGGTAGAGTCTTTCAGAGGCCCTCTGTGATAGGCCCCTGTCCTGTTCCCTGTTTTCTCCCTCTTCTGATACCCTTCTTGTTTACCTTTCTGAATGAAATTAGGCTTCTTACCAGGGTTCTCCTTCTTGATTAGCTTCTTTAGGTGTACAGGTTTTAGTATGATTATCCTATATTAGATGTCTAATATCCACCTATAAGTATACAGGAGACAACTTCCTGAACAGAACACCAATATCACAGGGTCTAAGATCAACAATCAATAAATGGGGCCTCATGAAACTGAAAAGCTTCTGTAAAGCAAAGGCCAAAATGTTTGTCATTAGAACAAAAAGAAAGCCTACAGATTGGGAAAGGATCTTCACCAACCCTATATCTGACAGAGGGATAATATCCCGAATACATAAAGAACTCAAGAAGTTAAATAGCAACAAATCAAGTAATCCAATTAAAAAATGGGATACAGAGCTAAACAGCGAATTCTCAATAGAGGAACACTGAATGGCCGAAAAACACTTAAAAAAATGCTCAACATCCTTAGTCATCAGGGAAATGCAAATCAAAACGACCCTGAGATTTTACCTTACACTTATCAGAATGACTAAGATCAAAATTCAAGTGACAACACATGCTGGAGAGGATGTGGAGAAAGGGAAACCCTCCTCCACTGCTGGTGGGAATGTAAACCTGTACAACATTCTGGCACTTCCTCAGACAATTAGCAATAGTGCTACCTCAATATCCAGCTATTTTACTCCTAGGCATATATCCAAAAGATGCTTAAGTAAACAACAAGGACATTTGCTCAACCATGTTCATAGCGGCTTTATTTGTAATATCCAGAATCTGGAAAAAACCCCGATGTCCCTCAGTTGAGGAATGGATACAGAAATTGTGATACATTTACACAATGGAATACTGCACAGCAATTAAAAACAAAGAAATCATGAAATTTTCAGGCAAAGGGTGGGATCTAGAAATGATCATCCTGAATGATGTATCCCAGAAGCAGAAAGACACACATGGTATATACTCACTTATAGGTTGCTTTGTTTTTTAAAGCATGAATCTTGAATGAAACAGAAAGGAACCAGTGAAGCAGAGCTGGTGAGAATGGAATGGATTTTTTTGTCTTCTATCCCTCCCCTGTCCATCCTCAAATAGCAAAATACCCACCTTTTAGAGGGGAGAACAAGTGTTAGGCCCCCTGGGTTGGGATGATAGCTGAGCTGGTAATGTGTCTGTCCTGCAGCATGAAGATCTGAGTTCAATCCCCCACAGCGCACATTTAAAAAAGGACAGAAAGGCCAGGTACAATGGCTTACACTTGTAATCCTAGCACTGGGGAGGTGGTCACAAGCAGGTCCCTGGGGCTCACCAGGCAGCCACCTTGGCCTACCTGCCAAGTTCCAGTCCAGTGAGAAATCCTGTCTAAAAAACGAGGTGTGTGTGTGTGTGGGGGGGGTGGAGGAGAGAGAGAGAGGGAGAGAGAAGAACAAGGCATGGAGTTGGATGGGCAGGGAGGTCATCTCACCTGAGATGATGTGAGAGAGGGAAACCATAATCAGAATATACTGCATGCAAAACTATCCATGATGAGGGGAACAGTGCCCAAGGAACAGCAGAGAAAATTGTCCTTTTGTCTCCATATGTACAACTACACATGATCACCTGTGAACACACACATGTGCACACACACAAGAGCTGAGCTTGAGATAGTGAGAGAGCCCACTACTTGCTTCCAAGGCTGACAAAGGGAGTTCGAGTCCACAGATCCATATAGAACAAGAGAACTACCTCCTGCAATATGTGCTTTGTCCTCTATTCATGGTATATTACACAGAGAATGGAAAAAAAAAAAAAACAACAAAACTTCTTAAGGCCAGACCAAAGAGAATGTGGAGATGAGAGAGAGAGAGAAAGAGAGAGAGAGAGAGAGAGAGAGAGAGAGAGAGAGGAGAAAGAGAGAGAGAGATTGGGTTGTGTATGTGTCTATTTCCCAAATTCAAAAGACTTGTTCAGTTGGTGTTTAAATGGCTAGCATGCTCACCTACTTTTATGCCTTCGTAGACATTCTCTCCTAGTTTATCAGCACCAGTCAGGACTACGAATAACTAGTAAAAGTTTCATCAAGTCTGAAAGCAATGCCCACATGGATCTCGGACAATAGGGGAGGGTGATCCTGGAAATGGCACTATGTTCCAAGTCTTTGGGGGAGGTACAAAAGGCAGCTGGAGATGACCCGGAATCTCTGATTCCTAAGGCTAAACAACTAAAATTAAAACGGGAAGGCAGGGTCTACCAAGAGGCCCTACCCTCAACTTTCTGCAACTACTCCCTTTTATCCTGGACACTCAGGGCCATCTCACTCCTGTCTAGAACCTAGCTGGGCCTAGAGATTTGTAAGATTCGCAAACGCTAGGATCTTTTTTTAATTATTATTAATTACAGTTTATTCACTTTGTATCCCCCCATAAGCCCCTCCCTCTCCCTTCCCGATCCCAACCTCCCTCCCCCTTCTTCACACATGCCCCTCCCCAAGTCCACTGATAGGGGAGGTCCTCCTCTCCTTCCTTCTGATCTTAGTCTATCAGATCCCATCAGGAGTGGCTGCATTGTCATCTTCTCTGGCCTGGTAAGGCTGCTCCCCCCTCAGGTGATCAAAGAGCAGACCAATCAGATTATGTCAGAGGTAGTCCCTCTTCCCATTACTATGTAACCCACTTGGACACTAAACTGCCATGGGCTACATCTGTGCAGGGGTTCTAGGTTATCTCCATGCATGGTACTTGGTTGGAGTATGAGTCTCTGGGAAGACCCCTGTGTTCAAATTTTCTGGTTCTGTTGCTCTCCTTGTGGAGTTCCTGTCCTCTCCAGATCTTACTATTTCCCCACTTCTTACATAAGATTCCATGCACACTGCCCAACAGTTGGTCGTAAGTCTCAGCATCTGCTTTGATACTCTGCAGGGCAGAGGCTTTCAGAGGCCCTCTGTGGCAGGCAGGTTCCTAGGTTGTTTCCTGTTTTCTTCTTCTTCTGATGTCCTTCCTCTTTGCCTTTCGGGATGGGGATTGAGCATTTTAGTCAGGGTCCTCTCTCTTGATTAGTTTCTTTAGATGTACAGATTTTAGTAGGTTTATCCTATATTACATGTCTATATGAGTGAGTATATACCGTGTGTGTCTTTCTGCTTCTGGGACTTTTACCTCCTGTCCTTTGCTACAAACCCAGGGAATGAACAACTTGGCATCCAGTGTTTACTGAGAGACTAACTTATGCATGAATGAATGGTGATTCCTTAGGAATAGCTGGGCTGCCACTTAAAAATAAGTATGAAAAATCTATTTTCAATAAAATATTAGTGAGCCGCAGAACTGTAACAACGGTAAGGAGACCACACCTGGGTTCAGGAGAGATGGGAACAGGTAAAGCAGACGGCGTATCTAGGGGAGAGAAACAACAGGCTGTGACACTGTAGTGGATGTTATACATGTGTGTCAAAATCTGTAGACAACATTGCGATGGCTGCTAGTATGAGTAATGACCTTAGAAGATCCAGTGTGGGCGCTGAGGTGAATGGACTTTAGTGCAGATGCAGCAACACCACTTCATCAGTTTTATCAAATTTACCCAAGATGCCACACAAGGAAGCTGCATGTGCCCAAGGTCGGGGGAAGATGTGTATGAGAACTT